CCGTTTTCAATAAATTCCAGTGTTGCTTAAATCTCTATAGTAAAGCTTACTTCCAAATTAAACAGTGACATATCTATTTGATAGCCCGTCATCAAATAATCTTCATAACATGTATAATTTAAACAACCCTATAGTCTGTGTGATAATGTGAGAATAAAACAAAATCCACAATATAATATGAGTATGCATTTAGTTAAGAAACCTTTTTAACATAGAAAAAATTAAAGTAAACTGACCTGGGAACTCCTCCTCGGCCACTTTATTTTCTCGTAGAAGCTCATAAGCAGCACAGCTCACTTCATGAGTACCCTCTCTTTTCACTGCACTCATGCAAAAAACACGAATCCCACGAGATTCTAAATTTTCTTTGAATGATGACCAGTTTTCATATGCATCTGGAAGGTCCATTTTGTTAAACGCAACTACATAAGGCTTTTCAGCAATTTCAGGGCTAAACAGTTCCAACTCCAGACGTACTGCATCAAACTCAAATTCTGGCTGTTGTGATGAGCCATCTACGACATGTATCTGACATTTCCAGAATGATGGATATCTTATCAATAATGATGGTTTTGATAAAGAATAAAACAAAACATTTTTAAATTAAATAAGGGAACTATTATTAGCACTCCAAAATTCTCATTGTGCACTCCAAACATTCTATATGTAGAAAGAAAAATACACTTGTGAGGAGAGCGCAATGAGATTTTTGGAGTGCCAATAACAATTCCTTTAAATAAGAAAATTTGAAACAGTGATTACTAAACAGAGAACAAAAGGGAGCTTTCATTTTCCTCAGCCACAGAACGAAGTAGACTTAACATTCATCGGAGATGTAAATTTAGCCTCATAATTTTGCATATATTCTATCATGTAAACGAAGGACACAATGGATGATACCAGAAATTGATTAAAATGACCACCAGAAAAGACCGTATAATTTGGTTGAAAGAGAATTCATGCTGTGTTTCCACAGGGTAATATGCGAAGATGAGCTAATGACAATTAAGATGATAAAAAATATATCAAGCTATTTTAATCTTCGAGCATCCAAAATAATTTGTAACAAAGTTCCAAATAACTTGAGAGATGATGGTCAAAGCCTATACCAGGGCAGAACACCTCTCAGTGTGCCGTAGGAACTCATGGCCCAAACCGAAACCGCGGTGTGCTCCTTCAAGTAAACCTGGCAGATCTGCTACTACCATTGTAGAATCATAGTCAAACGAAACCACACCCAGATTAGGAAGTAAAGTTGTGAAGGGGTAATTTGCTATTGTTGGCTGAGCAGCACTTATCACACTCAAAAGTGTGCTTTTCCCTGCATTTGGGGCGCCCACTATTCCAATATCTGCAACCAGCTTTAGTTCCAGCTCCAACCACCTGATCAATAATACCAGCATTTATTCATACTGTTCAAAAATGGTCACACAAAGACTGCAAGTATCCCTAATTTTGAGATCGCTGGGACCAAGGAAAGGCCATTGATTGTAAGATATCAGACAACATAGACCAATTTTAAGAATTATTTTAACTAAGCTAATCTCAACTGTTTGATATACTGCCTAGCTTTCAAGATCGAATCTGCAAATCGAGCTAAGAGAAACACTACAAGTCTACAATAGGGTCTCCTTTTACAGTGACATAAGATCTCCTGGAAAGCACCTAGCTTCTAATTGCACCAATATTTGGGTCACACTATCAATTTCAAACTGCTTCGGCGCATATCATCTTCTACTGCCAGAACGAAGTCTCAAATCAATCATTCAAAAGTTTTTACCATTGTTTTAATTTTGAATGACTACAGACTAACAAAACAATTCCATCTACCACAAATCATCCAAACAATAATAAAGAATCAATGATAACAACAACAGCACGCAAGTTAAAGCAATTCAGATTGATTGACAAGAGACTCGAAGAGGGGTAAACTCACATCTCGGGACCCTCTGCACCATTCTCAGCAATCCTGGGGACCTTATTTGTCCCGGATTTAAACGAAGCGTTTCCTCTCCCGCCTCTCCCTCCAGGCAACAACAATGCACGCTGGCCCGGATGCAACAACTCCAGAAGCACCTCATCCTTCCCCGCCTCTCGGACAACAGTCCCGGGCGCCACCTTAATCACTACGTCCTCTCCCTTAGCCCCATTCTGAGACTGCCCTCTTCCATGATCACCTCTCCCTGCCCGAAAATGCACGCTGTTCCGAAACGGCAGAAGTGAATTCATCGACCCATCCACCTCCATATACACATTCCCACCTCGCCCTCCGTCTCCGCCTGAAGGTCCCCCCAAAGGCACGAACTTTTCCCGCCGCATTGCAACCACGCCGTTCCCTCCGTCCCCTGCCTTGGCAAAGATTTTGGCGCGGTCGAAACACCGCATTACCGCTGGCACTCCCTTCTCCTTCACTTCCACTTCCTCCAATTCACTCTCATTACCGGAGAAATTCACAGCTTTGCCCTCCTTAAACCCTGGGAACTCACCGTCGTCGTTTTGATAAACATTTTCCAGTTCGTCGTCAATTTCACCATCACTGTCATCCTCCTCCTCCTCCTCCTCATCCAGTTCAGAATCGTAATTCCCATCAAAGACCTCAAATTTCCCAGAATTCATCCCTAACTTATTATCCGTGCCACTTTCTTCCTCCTCCTCTTCGTCGCTGCTTAAATAATCAATCTCCTTCTCAACCACCAATGCGACATTTGACTCAGAGAGCTTCACCTCAGACGAGAACTCCAACGACGCCGCATCGAGAGACGGGAGAGAGAAATCCTCTCTGGGAGGCAGGCGAGTGTAGGTGGTGGCCTCGACGCCGACTGAGGACAACTGCTTCGCGCCGGTTCGACCCTTCAGCCTAACGTTAGGGTTAGGGTTAGGCCTCGGAGTTACCTGCTTCTTATTCGGAGGCTTGCGAGTCTGTGGGACCCTCGGGCGAGCCATGGCGCTCGGGCAGAAGCTTATGGATATGGTCGCCATTTTCAGGCGCGGCAAACTGAAACGAAACTCCTCAGTCCTGATTTTGTTCAGCTCAACTGGAAACAGCCTGGTGTGTTGGCATGCCACGTATCCCGTTCTGGATTACGTCTTCGAAACGCAGCGTTTTGTTCATACGCTTTTATTCTTTTCCCTTTCCTTTGCACCCTTGTTAGGCCATCTCTAGCAGCGCTGCTGTGGACCCATGTTCTTGAATTATTTGGATTATAAGTATGGGACATTGTAGTAGCGGTGTATTTGTGTTATGCAAGTTATTTTTTTAGAAAAAAAGTTATACTCTAGCTAGCAAGGGATTATATACTAGCTAGTTGGCATGGTTGGCTACAAGTAGGTCTCAAGCATAAGACAACGAGCACAAATGGTGAACACTCCAAAACACTTTAGTTAAAGCATCCCCAGTGAGGGGCTCTATATGGGGCTGAAAAAATGGTAGATGTAATCCGTTTTTGAGCTCTGAAAAATGTTTGGGGTTTTATAAAAGAATATCTCCCAATGAGGAGGCATTTCTTTTGGACTCTATATGGAGCTATATAGATTTATTTAGAGTAAATTGTAGTTATGGTCCCTTAACTTTGACTCAATTGGAGCAATGGTCCCTCAACTAAAAATCCATTACCATTGGTCATTCAACTCATCAAAATGTGCAGCTATGGTCTCTCAACTAAAAATTTATTACCATTGGTCCTTCAACTTTAATTTAACTAGAGAAATAGCCCCTTAACTTTAACCCAATTGTAGCAATGTTCCTTCCAACATAACTCATTTTGACAAAAATTTTGATGTAGTTGACGAAAATGACCATAATTACACACTTTGATGAGTTGAGAGACCCTAATTATATAAATGGTTATTCCAACATAACTTATTTTGACAAAATTTTAACGAAATTGATGAAAATGACTATAGCTACACATTTTGATAAGTTGAGGGACCAATAGTAATGAATTTTTAGTTAAGGGACCATTGCTCCAATTTGATTAAAATTGAGGGACCATTGCTACAATTTACTCATTTATTTATGTAGTCATGTGATTATGCAGTGATTTTTATTTTTTATTTTTAACTTTTCTTAAGTTGATTGACACACCTCAACCAGAGTCAAGACATGCTGGTCGACACCCGAAGGTGACGTAACCAAAAAGGAAGGTGATGCATAAGAAAAATGTGGATAAATTTAAACCCAAGCAAACATTTATTTAATCTAAGGTAAAGAGTGCGCAGTAGTGGGAAGAACCCATAAAACACAAATGTTCAGAGCATAGATGACAATACGACAGAAGTAGTGCAATCGAAACTAGTTAAGATACTTAATACACAACCGAGAAAAAGCCCTTACATTTATCTATGGAAATTTCAGAATACACTAGAGATTCCTCGTATGCCACAACGAGTTCAACTATCTAAGTCCTAATGGGGTGAAAAACAGAAGGGTGAGTGGGCAAAAACAAAGGTTTATAAAACACATTTATTTCTGAACTTACTAACCCCTCGCCGTAAAACATGTATAGTTTCCAGAAAATCATACTACATATAAGTATGAAATTAACTATAAACCAACAATAAATCCATAAATACATCAACCATATTATCTCAACAGCAACATAAGTAAAACCAGGTGCTCATCAATCTATGCTACCACACGAGTTCATGTAGAGGGAATCTGACATGAATATGACTGAGTGTAATCATAATATACGCTCTAGCACTACAATCATGTGAAGACTAGTGCTAGGTGCATCACATACGAGTCGGAGTTGCCTATTGCAACATGTACGACAGGATTGCCACCTACGATGGATCCAAGGTGAGTGTGCGGTGTGATGTGAACATACACATGAAGCCTGGCCCTGGCCCGGGCGAGTACAACACCTGTGTAGGCATGCATGATGAGCAAGTATAATATTATGAACATGCCAATGACAATATGTAAATCTCAACAATATAATGACATTTTTTAAATTAAATAAAACATGGCATGAAATGTGTAAAATTAATCAAAACACTTGTGGAAACTATAAAACTTTATATATTATATTTATAAACAAATGCCCACTCACTAATACGTCAATGGATTGTAGCCTCCTAGCCTTGTTTGTCCTCGTACCTCCTCGGAGTAAGTCTCACATATATGTGAAATAACTTTACTAATTAATTAATTAGTACATACACTAAAAGGCTAGAAAAATCCCCCTTAGTTTTGCTCAAACAAAAGGTTTAAATATACGAAAATAGTCTTCTCGACGTCACGAACTCGTACACGTCAAGCACGCACCGCTCGGAGGCCGAACACACCCTCACGCGCCGCCACGCACTGCCAGGTTGCGGCCACTCCGCCGCTGTTTAGTTCGCCAGTTTATGGAAAAATTCGCCAGATTCTGGAAAAAAAATTTTAAAACTTCATATCTTCTTCATTTCTCAACCATTTTTTATGTACTCTATATGGAAATGAAGCTTATGAAGAGTAGAACAAATTTATACCTTTCAAAAGTCCAAAAAGTGGACGGAAATGGACTGAAAAAGCCTCGAAACTCTCAATCCTATTTTCGTCGTCTCAAACCCGTGTGTTCTCACATTGGCTCCACTTCAAACCTAGGCTAGTGGCCACAGGGAGTTTCCTAGATGTCTCCAAACCTTCCAAAACCGTGCAACTCGAACGGAAAGTCGTCGAAAAAATCTACACCCGAGTCGGAGCTTCGAGTTGCTCCGAGTTAGACAGTCAAAACTCAACTACTTTAAGATCGGCTCGTACGGATGGACTCGTGAGGATGAGGGGAGCACGATGATGGTGATTTGAGGGTCGATCTGTGAGGTTTGATGATGAATCTTTGTTGTTGCAGAGACAAGGGAGACTTGGGTGAGGGAGAGAAGAAGAAGAAGAAGAAGAGAGAGAGAAAAAGAGAGAGAGAGAGAGAGGGAAGTGTTTTGATTGGACAGAAATAAGAGATTATCTGATTGGGTGAGGGGAAAAGAGGAGAAAAGTTGATTGGTTGGTGAAGGAGAATAGGGCACGAGACATAATTTAAAAAGAAGAGGTGATAAGATTTGTACAATTTGAAATCACACGAAATCTAATGTGCCTTATCAAAAATAGTATTCTAACACTAAATTATTAGTACACACATGTACAAATCTACCAGTTGTTAACACACTTTAACTAAACGTAACTTCTTCGTTACAAATCTAATTCGGGTCTAACTCGCCCTCATGCATTCGTAACAACGAGTACTAATTAATTACGATATCGAGAAAAATAATTTAAAAGCCGAATAACTACGTCCAAGTCAATTCCACTTTTGCCAAAAGGGCATAAACGTCATTTTACATCCTCGGGGAGAAAATTACATGGAAAATTAGGGATGGGTCGTCACATTGATTTTTGGACTTGTTATCTTAATTTTTTTTAATAAATTCTCTTATCTCAATCTCAGGCGTTGAAAGATACAAACTCCCACTTCGCCCTCTGAAATAATTTGATTTTCACGTACAACACAACAATTTACCTGGCATCAATTGGTAAATTAGTATCATACAATTTACAATTTTGATTTTTTTTTTAATTTCATCCACCAATATGACCATGAACGTTAAATCAATTTGAAATTTCTAATTCTTATGAAATTTAAAACAATCATTAATTAGCCAAATTGCAAGAAAAATATGTAAGAAATAAAGAAATAAAAAAATAAAATAAAAGGAGAGAATAAGTTATTCGCAAGTAGAGGGAGAGTGATGAAATTTTGCTCACATGGGTTGTTACTTTTTTTGTGGGACTCACTGCTTTTTGGGGCTAGATGTAGCCCAATTTTATGCTACTCAAGAAAGGAAGTTGTTTGCCCAAGTAGTTGATCTAATCCCATTTTCCAGCTCATTGGGGATGCAATTTCTGACTAATTAAGGCTTGAAATGTAGTAGCCTTATGGAGGATAAAGCCCCTATTGGAGATGCTCTTACAAACTCCTTGCAATTGTTATTTTAACAAATGCAATTGTATCTTAATACATTAAAAATGTTTAATCGTATCTTCAATAATTAGTTTTAACATAGGAAAAATGCTAGAGAGACCATATTTTTGCATCACATTCATGTATCATCTAATGTACTATGATAAAGAAAAGAGTATTGCTACTCTTACCATATTTTTTATACCACATTTGTGGTTGTACCACCTCCCTAATAGAGGTAGGGCTCACCAACACATGTGGATCTCATATCTGTTAGAGAAATGGTACAAATGTGGTATGGAAAATGGGATTGAGATCCACTCCGAATCTCTGTGTTCGAAGCCTGCAGATGAGAGATCCAAACCACTCAATTTCAATCCTACGGCCATCGTTCGCCTATCCCACTGACCCACTTCACAAAAACTCAAGAACTTGAACAGCCTAAATCTCTTTCTTTCTCTTGATCGGTTTAGATCTCTTGGTTTGCAGGCTCGGAACACAGAGATTTGGAGTGAATCTCTTTCCTAAAAAATGTGATAAGAATTGCATTTTTGCAAAGAAAATACTCTCTAACAACTAGAATTTATTCTTGTAATATCAACTCTTCCCTTAATTTTAGAGTGCATTGTACCTTCCCACCTTTAAGTAACGGTGAGCAATATTATCATAATAACGGTGAGCATTATTATTATCTTATGTTCGAATCTTGTGGATGGCGGACTTGATATCAGATTAGGTTGTCTATTGTGTGGCTTAACTGAACTCTCCCTTCCCTTAGTATAAAAATATCGATGTACTCAAAAAAAAAAATTTAAATTCACTCACCAAGTGACAATTAAACGATGATACTCCTCACCACATCTTACTTTTTGCTCATTCACTTTCTCACTCCTACACCCTAATTCTCTTTCCTTCTTACTATAACTCCATAGTCCATGGTAATATCACACCCATGTGTGTAAAGTCGTGGTTGAAATGATAAAAAGGAAGGGAATTTTTGGTAGGGCAAACCCAAAATCTTGATGGACCCTTTTTGTCCTAATTATGGAGGGAGGTAGGGGACTTTGTGGGTCGTGGGAGCTAAGGAATCTGTGGTGCTGTGTTTGGCTTCATATGAGTTTGTCATACATTCACTCAGTGACCAGTCCCAAATAGAGAAAATATGCACAAATTTGTGACTTATTGGACGATGAAGTCGTCGGTAAACGCATATAGGCACATTAATTGTAGTTATGATGAGTGGTAGGGAGCTCATGAAAAACAATAGTACTTGTAAGTGAATGCCTACCTAGTTGTTTACTCTTCTTTTATGTGCTCCACCGTTTTAGTGGGTTCATCTGAGTGAGATGTAGGGTTATGTTTATATGTTTTGTTTGCGTCATGTCATTTCGTGTTTGTGTAAATGTAAAAGAAATAGTTAATTTTAAATTGATTCAGTAATGGGTGTTTAGATTCAAACTCAAATAGTTACTGACGTTGATGGTAAACGAGTTTTGTATTGAGAACGAAAAATATAAACCTTAATAAACCTAACACGTGGATACAAGATATGTAGTCAAGTCATTGCCTTTTTTTACTAGTTTACAATTCGTATTTAGAAGTATTTCGTTTTCGTGTTAGGTTAATAATCATTTCATATTTTCTAAACTTATGTCAATTTTGGAGCCTTATTGTCTAGTCGTGTCAAAACCCTAGTGAAATGTGAATGATTCCAAAGGTTGTTGGACAATGTTTTGAAACGGGTACCTAATGGGGATCGCCAATGCTACATATTATGTAAGGTTTAGTAAAATTGTACAATTGGTGTCCTTAGAATAGTACGTGTTTTGTGATCTTCTTGAATTCAAGTTTGCTCAACAGAATCCCACCAGGACCAACTTGATGTTTGTAAGTTATGAGACAAGTACGGCTCTGAGTACCAAGTATAGCCAGTATGTATCAACTTTATGTCGCTCGTATATTATTGGTGTCTGTAGTTTTAGGTCTAACTAACCTACCTTCAAATGAATTTAAATTGCGGAGAAGAGAAGTCAAACTTAAGTGTATAAAAGGAAGGAAAAATTAGTATCCGGTCCCTAGTTTTTACTGTTCATTGACTAAGACCTTATTAGTTCTTAAATTTTGATTGAAGTCCCTAGCATTAATGTGATAATGAATTTACTTGTTTATTATATAATTTTTTAATATAAAAATTAGTAATTAATTTAGGGTTTAATACTCACACCTCTATTAAATTTCTAATTAATTTTCAATTCAAACATTTCTAAAATAATAAAAAATTAAATTAAATTAAGTTTGTACCTATTAGTTTTTTTTTATATATAAAAAGATTCTCAATTTTTTAATCTTAAATGTACCCATTCATATAATTTTTCAATTTTTTTAATCTTAAATGTACCCATTCTCAAATATATCAATTTGTTATATGTAAAATGTACCATTTTTTTAATATAAAATCCATTCAAATTTTTTAATCCATGTTTAAACTTTATGAATACATTCTTTTTCGTTGATTTGAGAATGTATCCATGTTTTGGTACAATAACTTTTTTTGTTAATTTTGGTTAATGTACCCATACATATATGTATATATACACACACACAATATAATAGAGAGTATAATTTATATTTATTATTTTTAATCCCATAAATGATGGGTTTTAATTAAAATCTCATTAATATAAACAATTACAAATTTCAATTTTTAATTTTTAATTAAAAAAATATAGTAACTTACATTATTACATTAATGTCAGGACCTCAATAAAAAACTAAAAACTAACAAGGTTTCAATCAAAGAATATTGATAGCTAAGGACCGTATCCAAAGTGTCCCTAAAAGGAATTACATCCGTTCTAACCAATGTGACTACAAACACATCTATTTGTCTAGCTTAACTTTAAGCTAAAGAAATATACAAGTCCTACTGTTGAAACTCAAGTTTTTTTATGTGTTACGAACAAAGTGGAGAGTCATTGTATCATACAACAATGTATAATATATGTGGGACCATGATTTTTCAAGGGTCGGAGTAAGGTGGATCGGAATACGCCTACCTCAGAAGTCCAACCATGAACTCAATAGTCTCCATTGCGGAGTTGACTAAATGGATCAATGATGCCACCATCATTCTATTCGAAATCAGTGGGTGAAGTTCGTCGACTTCGCTGAGATAGACCATGCTTGTTGTGCAAGATTTGGGAACATAATCGAGCAACGAATCAGCATGTTTCTTATAATCTTGGAGTCCTTACAATCTAAAGATTGCGTGCGCCACAGGTAATCACACTCATAAGAGGTACAACATCTACTTACTAGATATTCTCTATGATTCTCCCAATTTAATAAGGATTCTACCAATTTAATAAGTTCTACTATCCTAAATGGTCATCTCCTCGACTGGTATAAATACACCCTTATAGGGTTCACCTCTGGTAATACAATCTCTGCATACTTATACTCTTGTCCACTGCTTGAGTCTCAATATTGCTTACTAACTTAACCATTGGTCGAAGAGCCTTTGACCGGCACACCCTCGGTCTTTCGCTTGCTCACGGTTGTATGTTCTTTTACAGGTTAATGAGTTTGGGCATCTCCACCACTCATGGTGGCGCACAAATTTGGTTCAACAATAGTGTCTTTCTGGATCATGTTTACCGATTAAATTTACTAAATTTCTTAAACGTATATTTGACCGTGAAATTCAATAATGTTAGTAAAGGATTAAAAAATGCATGTTTTGTGACACAAACAACACTGGTACACTAGTACATGAGTTACCCTTACGAATATAACATTGAGATTACTAATTAAACTTGTTTTTGTTGATGTGTGATTAAGCTTAAGCTTTGCCCAAGCTAACATACACCAACAATTTGTGCAAATATCTTCACATATATATTCAAGTGAATAGTACACTCCCAAGAGTGATTGTATCAGTTCCCTCACCCATGACTGTTGTCATTGCCATTTCTTTCTCTTGAATTCTTTCTAGCTCCGCCACAACCATCTCCATCTTCGGCCGCCTTTTTGCCGGAAAACTCATGCATTGCAGTGTCAGCCTGATCAAGTCCCTCATTCCCTCCGCGGTGAAGCTTCCAGCTAGCCTGCGGTCCACTAGGTTATTCGAACTCAGCCGCGATTCCACCTTCACAAAGTTCAAAATGTGATTCAGAAGACAAACAGTAGCCTTTAACTAGCATATGTATAGAGACATTGCAAAATTATGTGACTGCGTCTCTTAGAGAGCGGAGATTCACTCACACATGTGAGTCTACGTTTAAAAGGGATGTGATCAACAATGTAGTTGATAAATAGGGTGCAAATAGTTTTATTTTATCGATGATTAGAGTGGTTGCTTGTTCATACCCATTGAAATAAGCTTTCATTTGATCCCAATGAGCCAATGTGCACGGCCTCCTGTCCAGTTAGAAGCTCCAAAGCGAAAACCCCGAAGCTGTACACATCACTCATTTCAGAGGTAACCCCGGATGCTCCAGCCCTATCACATGCATTGTTAGCTTCTGAATATGAATGAAAGCGCCAAAACGAAAACCGAGTTCAATCAGAAGACATCGAATTACTCTGGATCTTCGAAAAAATTGACACTAGACGTGCTAGAAGGACCTGCTTCTTCTATCTTCTCTAGCAGTTTTGAGATTCCTGCATCTGCAACCTTAGCAATGAAGTTCTCATCAACCAACACATTGGCTGTTTTGAAGTTTTTATGTACTATGGGAGGCTTTAGGCCATGCAAGTGGGATAAACCTGCAAATTAGATACTTAAAAACTTCAACCATGGTTCTTAATTTCTTCGTTTCTTATGGAGTTCCCATTTGATCTTACCTCTCGCGGCGCCTAGAGCTATTGATAGCCTTTGCTTAAACTCAAGTTTAGTTGATGGCTCTGGTCTAGTATCTGCCACAAATTGAATAGCATCTGAAAAATGCTTATAAAACCAGTACTATGCACGCTCACGCGCACACATATGATCAGTGAAATTAGGTAAAAATAATTACCATATAGGTGACTAGAGATGCTGCCATTTGGTAAATACTCATAAACCAGTACTTGATATCCACTTTCCTGGCAGTAACCTAGAATTGTAACTAAATGTCGATGACGAATCTCCGACAAATATGTCACCTGTTGCAACATAATAACCTGTCACTTCCTCATGAAATTCTATAAGATTAAGCTCATAAATAGTTTTTCGCTTATGAACCCCCGACACCACCTTCATTTTCCGCTTAGCAAACGATTCATTAAGCAACTATATGTATACGAGATGCATTATGTAATGCTCATAAACATAGAGCAATAGACTTCTTATTTTTTTCATGATCGGTTACCTCTGAGACAAAATCGTGTCTAGGAGCACCAGGCCGCCTTTTGATAGCCACAACAGTCCCATCACGCAGCAATCCTTTATAAACCAGGCCAAAGCTTCCATATCCCAGCAGATTGCTTTCATCAAAATGCTTGGTTGCCTGGTCTAACTCCTCCAATGTGAAGACCCTCGGCCCCTGTCGTGCCCCCGAGCTGGGCCCACCCCTGTTCCATTCCACTGACAATGTTGGGGCGCAAGGTATCAGAGTTGTTAACAACACTACAGCCATCAATTGACCAATGTAGCATAATTTTCTTTCGAAAAATGCAATATTCAGAACTACTCTAATCAACGGGAGGGGGGATTCAAATTTGGGTGCAAAGAGGCCAACACGCTGCCCTGCTAACTAACATACATTACAGTTCATGTAAAAATAGAAAACAAGAGGAGTTTTACCTAATGCAGATGGATCTGAGGAGCCTGTTTCAGAGGTCCTGTTCGAAAAACTCTTGCAATGAGCCCTGCAGAACCACACAAATGCGATGACGATTGCGAGCAAGGCAAGTGCCCCAGCAGCACCTCCAACAACAGCAGCAGATGGCTTTGGCATTTCAGCAAGTTGGAATCAAGCAACCAGCCATAGATGTGGCAATACAATAACTTATAGGACTTGCATATTATACTTTTACAGCCTTTGGCACCAGAAAAATGGAAATTTGAATATATATTGCTGTTGGTGGGGTTTTACTGCAGACGAAGAGCTGAGAAATGCTAACTGGCTGATCTCAAGAATCTACTTAGAAAACAAGAACTTTGGGAAGAATCAATGCTGCTAAAATCTAAACAAACAGATCAGAAAGACAACTCATTTGCTTCTTTTTTTTTTTTTTTAAAGTTGTGCCCCACTTTGTTTCAGCATCTCATCACAATGACGTTGGAGAAAACCCATCACTGAAGAACATCTTGGTCCTTTCAAAACCCCCCTCCCATCCCCCACCCCAACTTTTCTCTATTTAAGTTGGGGTAGTGTTTTTTACGCTCTCGTTTTCATCTTCTACATTTCTCCTTTTGTTTTATACGACGGTGAGAGAATGAAAGTGCGGAAATCACTTTGCTTAAATGTGATGAGGTAAAGGGGTGATTTATGAGACCAAGTAGGAAAAAAAAAACATAAAGCAGAAATTATTATTACCCTTCTCTTACTGATGTTACACTTGATGTTGGCTTATATTTGGCATTGCTGATTACAACAGAACAAAAATTATTGGGTGCTCCAAATTACCTGGTACTATGGATTTATTATCTAGTAAATTCTAATTTTTTTCTAAAACCAAAGATCTAACGGTTAAAATACGCAGAGTATCCAGTCACTGTAAATTTCAAAAGTAATGAAAAGTTAGAAAAATGATGCATGGCAAAGACTTTTGTCAAGTAAAAGAGGCGACAACCTATGAACACTTTATGCAGATATCAGTGAATGTAAAGGGAAATGACTGAGCTTAAAATCCAACAAAAAAACAGGAAGTAAAAAAAAAAATTGAAAAATCTTTATGGGGATAGTTGCTGGTTGTTACCAACTGTAAAATACTTTCGATTTTTACTATGAAAATGTGGACGTGTGTGAGAGTGGCTTTAAATTGTTGGACAGTGGAAGACATAACAATTAATTGAAGGGGATCAAATTCAAGAATTTTGTAACATGCTCCCGAGTATCCTATACATTTAACTATTAGCCGTCAAATAGTAGGTATCACATTCTTAACCAAGAATCTAACGACCAAAAATCTCAACCTATAAGTATCCGGAGCATACTAGAATTTTTTCAAATTCAATAGAAAGAAAACAAAGTAGTTATATCGATCAATCACTCACTTCCTTGAATTCACTCCCATGATCTTCCTTTTTGCCTCTTTTTCTGTCATCTGATCTGGAAAGAGAGGGAGGGCAGTTCCTGCATTTGTATAAAGAGGAAGACCTCTCTCTTCCTCCAGATGGGGTCATTTGACAGCTGATCCAACAGCACATTATATATCTCACTGCAAGTTCTGCAGCAGGAAAAACAAAATATGATATCAAGTTTCCACAGTATATATGTCCTTAGTATTTTATTGCTACACAAAAACACACACACACATATATATATATATATATAATGAATATATATACATATATATCCTATAATTTCTGCTTTGGAAAAAGGGAATGGGGTAGTCTTAAAATTTCTTACCCTTGCCTGCTTTTGTGAATATTTATATTTCGAGCAATTTGGTTGAACTGTACGAATTGTTGGTGGGGAAGGCCACTGAGCTGTAAGTCTCTTTCCATTTTATTAATTCAGTTTGTTTGTTTTTCTGAAACTTTTGTTTGTGTTGTTGGTTTGGCTGGAAAGGGAGGGGAGGGATTGGAAAGAGGGTTGTCATGTTGTGCAGCTCTACAAGAGGTCCATATCACAGTCTAATAATAAGGGTTTTGTAGGGAAGGCTGGATTTTCTCAAATTTGGCTTCTTGTTTGGATCTGGTGTCTGAGACTCTAATCACTGAAAAATCTTCAAGTACATTTCGGGGTATTCTATACTTGAAGTTTTCAATTGTTGGATCTTAAGTTAAAGATATAATAATTAAGATTTAACCGTTAAAAGCTCTGAAATATAGAATACTCCAAAGCATCATAGAAATTTTCACATTGTTTTCTTTAGTAACTTCATGTGCTTTAACTCCTATATTTCTAGGTAATTCGTTGTGAGTTTAGAAATTTTTACTTCCGTGGCAAGATGTCGCAAACTATTTTGGCTTGTCTTTTTAAACATTTTGTCAAATATCTTGCTCTCATAACTTACATGCTTAAGAAAAACATCAAATGAACATTGGATAATAATTTCGTGTGTAGCAACAGTAGGGTGGGAGGATTGCATGCGCATACCCTAAACCCTAAGTGGATCCATCATAGTAATAAGTATCTACGAACTTAAAAAAGAAGGTAATCACATTGTTACACACGGGTTTACGAACCTATTGTGTATTTTTCTCTCGTCACGTGACTTGTACACCAAAGTTTTACTCCTTGGCCTGTTGCTTAAACTGCTGCTAGGTATTGGGTCAAGGGTAGTCAAAGTGGTACCATAAAAGCCAGATCATATATGCCATGTATGCTTGGGAGGACTGAAATCAAGAAAATGTGTGTGTGGGCAGGGTGGGGCGGGGGGACCATCCATTTTGGTAGGGAGGAATAACCTTGCAGTCCTGCACTTGATTCATGACCAGTGAAAACTGACTGCTGATGGAGGACTGTGAGCAAAGAATCTATTGCACATTTTGAGCCTTCTTTCTTCTTCTTTCCTTTTCTCATAAATCAATATATATGCATCATATCTTGAAAAGCATCTGACATGTTATGTTACTATATGGAAAATTAAAAGTGATCTCCGTATGAACTTATTATCCTGTTACATTATGCAAAGATTTCAGTACTGACTTGAAAAATTACAATAAAATATTTAATAATAAAATATATAAGATACTACTTTGTATCAAAAAGAGAAGAACTTGCATGGAATAATGGAAATAAAAAGATTATGATTGAATCGGAATATGTACTTCTAGTAGTTGATTTTACATGCACAAGTAATACTAAATTGTCGTGCCCTTAGTTCTCATAAAATTTTATAAAATAAAAAATAAAAAAATCTCGTGCCCTTATGCATTAAAGTTGGTTTTGTGAAATTTGTCATGTTTATCGTGAAATTTTTTTTGTTGCTGATGATTTGACTTGTTTTGATTTGTCATGTAGTTTGAGTCCAGTCTTTCTTAAGCAAGCTACTCATTATTGTCGACGGCTGTTAATTGCGAGTATAGTTGAGTCTCGTGATATTCTTATATAATACTTCTTTTTCTTTCAAACTTATGCCCCGTTACAAAGAAGAACTTGTTTAGGGGCATTCAGAGTCCAACGTGTCATGCCTAGCAAAGCTCTCCTAACAATATGGGATCTATGTTCTCATATATTTTGGTTTGATCTGATTCACATTAGTTTCGCTTGGTGTGAAAATTGTTCTGCACATCTTTAAAGTTGACACGATGCAACTTTGACAAACCCCACTTGGTACGTTTAATATCCAATTGTTACATTACTCGATTAGACTTTGCTTTTTCCCATGTGAAACTACACACAGCAAACAACAACAACAATTCTTCGGCCCCGCAAGGGTTTGTGAGTCCGCAATCACAATGTCAATGTGAACCAGCCACGGTCTCGATGTGGAGTTTTTGGAGAAAGAAATGTCGTTTCAATTTTATCTCTAATTGGACAAGAAATACATAATTTTATCCGATTATTTTCAGCATGTTTCACAAGTTATGTATAAGAGTTTGAATCTGGCCCAAAAATAGGATAGGGGTCAAGACGCAGTCGGGCGCTCGCAGCTAACTCAAATGTCGTTCAACCGTGTAAAATGGTTACTTAGAGATTATGGGTATACCTTGATGCTGGTGGTGCGAGTAATCAAGTTTCTCCTAACCACACATGAATAATCATGAGTAATCATTTCATGATGAATTCAAAACTCACCACACGAGTAATCATTTCATGATTAATTCATAAATTATTGGGATGAGTTAGATTTTACTGCACTCATTATGTCGTTTTATCAACATTGGATGAAGCCCACATACTATATTTGTGTAAATATAAAAATTTAAAAATAAGAAAAATATGAAAGAGAAAGAAATTGGAGAGAAATGTGAGGGAGAGGGGAAAGTAGAAGGGGACAATTTTACTTCCAGGGAAATTTTATTTAAATCTATTTAATCTCTTTTTACACTTAATTTAAATTTTAAATATTAATTATCTATTTTACCCTATTACATAATTAAATACAAAATGAAATTAATAATAAAAATCAAATTTATCAATAGATCCACATACTATAACTAAACTCTAGCATCACTTTTTGTTTATCCTACGTTCATTCCGACTAAAACCCTAATAGCTCTGATAGAGAAAAACAAGCTTTCTATTGATGGATGATGATTTTGAAGTTTTTAATCCTCCAACTAAGGTATGACTCGATTTATGGATATTTTGTTTGTTTGCCTTTTTTTGGATTAAATTTCATACTTTTTATATTATATTGTATTTGTTTCTCTATGTTGTCTGTATACGCCCCAGAACACCAGTGCAATGACTTTTGATTATTACTGCAAAGACATAAAACTTAATTCTTGGTGCAAATAAAGATTGCTCAACCTTAACCACGAACTAGCAAGTGGCATGTCTTGCACCTTTTTTATTCGAAATAGCTCCAATTTGTTTATTAACATAGTAGCAAAACACACAGCCCTATGTCATTTCAAAGTTTCTTAAAAAGTACACGAAAATGCTCGATTTAAAAATTATTGAACTGGAGCTTGCATAACATTCTCTTGGCAAATTCAAGTCTATGGAAAGATCTCTTGGATCCCAAGTCCATGGATGGGTTGTGGTAGCAGAAATAAAAAAAACAGCCATGGAAATGCTAGTCCTATACGGTAGATGCAATTATAGGGGGGCAAATGACGCCTCTTTGAAAGAAAAAAACATTCAATTAGATATGTTATTTTATAAAGAAAATGTGTGTAAAGATAATTTTATATTTTGAATTGGATTTGAGAGGGTAATTTAGGTAATACATTTGGGTTTAAAAAGATATTAATTCTTTAATAAAAAATAATATGGGTGAAAAGAGTAAGTTGAATGTAGAAAGATGTTAGACAGGTTTAAATAAAATTTCCCTTACTTTTATTTTTATTTTGAAATTAGAGATTTTTATGATGGGTGGGGTGGGAGAAAATAAAAAATAATTTTTGTACGAAATTACTTTAATATTTATAATTTTTTTATTAGATTTTTTTTAATTATGCATGCAATGGTACAATAGTATTTTCTTTAATTTTTTTATTAAAAAAAGTGTTCTATTAATTTTTTTGACAAACGCATTTGTCGTTAAGAACTCGTTTAGAAGTACTTTTAAAATAACTAAAATTTTTTTAGAGAACTTTTTGAGTTCCAAAAGCACTTCAAGTGCTTTTTGCAAGAAGTACTTGAAGTGTTTTTTTGGAAGAAGCACCTGTGCTTCATCCAGAAAATACTTTAAGTGTTTTTTTTCAGAATTTGCTTGTATTTTTACTAAGGATTGATTCTAAAAATATTTTAATCAAATATGTTTTTAGTTATTTTAAAAGTACATCCAAACGAACTCTAAATTGTTAATCAGTCGATAACGGGCTTGAATTAATCCTACTATGCATTTATAATCATACATAATTTCAATATGAATTTATTCTAATTTATAAATAATAAATATTGATAATACATGATTTGGACAAAACTTTTGCCAAAAAGTGACCCCTCTAATCAAATTAATTCATCACAAAAAAAAAAAAAAGTTAAAAAAACAAAAAGAAACCCAAAGGCTCCTGCTCTATATCGCCACTTCCCCGGGTAGATCGGAGCTCAAAGCTCAAAGCTAAGATTTTTATATATGCCCGTGGCAGCTAGGGCTTTGTTCAGCGACTCTAACCGTGCGCGGGCTCCGGCTTGGTCCTAGTTCAGCAATGTACAGTGGGTCCAGCGACGGCGAAGGCCATGAGGCCGCGCAGAGGAAGATCCCTCCCGCCTCCTCCATGCTCTGGGTCCGCAATCTCCGCCGCTTCATCGGATCCGGCGCCGGACTCGGATCCGAAGCCCTCATGGGTATTTCCATGCTAATCCTTCCAAGTGTCGAATTTTAAATTTTGGAATTAGGGTTTAGATTAAAACCATGTGTTACACATTTGGGATTTTGGGTGCAGTCAGTAATTCTATGTTTTCCCTCTTTGTTTTAGGAATCATCAACTGTTATTAAGCTGTTTGCGTAGTGATTAGAACTTCCTTAAGAACTAATGAATCAAGTGATAGCGAGATAAGCTCGTCGAAACAGAACAAATATGAAGGAAAAGCTCTCTTAAAGTTTCAATTTTTTTGAAGTTTGAGGGCTTGTGTCAGTCTATCGCATTTGTACGAATGGTTGTATTTAGGTATGCATTATACATTCAACTGAGCCCATGAGTCATGGGTGCCAGCAAATTTCGAAGAGTTCGGCTTGGTTTTCTCTCATTGGTCTGTAATATGAAAGTGTGAGGCACCTGTTCATTGAGTACTTTAGCCCCTTCCCCAAGTTTTTAGTAGATAATGGGTCGCTGTAATTTGCTTTTATGAGCACATCTATGAGTGTGCACGCTCGAGATAGAAACCAAGTTTTTAGTTCCTACCTTGCCAGTTGCTATTTAAATTGCTGAGACATGCAGTGATGAAACTGAGGTGGATTTAGTTCATACATATCTGTCTCCATGCCGATATTCTCTGCCTGAGATTTAATCAAGTGTTTTGTATTATTTTATTCTGTGTAGAGCTTGAAACAAAAAGAATCTTGCTTGATATTTTCAAAGAGAAGCAACAAAAAAGTGCTGAAGCTGGCACAATCCCAAGTTTCTACAAGAAGGCATGTAGTAGGGTTTTTGTTGTATTTCAATGATTCTGTTCGTGGTTGGGAATCTGAGGAGGAAGGCACTAATTTATGATGGAAAATTCGTAATCTTTAATACATTTTTGTTTTGACCCTTCTGGTGTGCTCTTTCCTTGGTCCTTTTTGACTTTGCGCTGTCTTTCCATTTTTACAGAAACCTGAAGAAGGATCTATTAGTCAGAGGGTCCAGAGGCTGGCAAAATATCGTTTTTTAAAGGTAATCATCTGGATTTTCATTCCTGATGATTATTGTTTTATTATGTTACCTAAGCATCTGACTTTATTGGTGGCATTTACCTTTGTTTTTGCAGAAGCAATCAGATCTTTTGCTAAATGCGGATGATCTAGATGCTATGTGGGTTTGCTTAAGGGAAAATTGTGTGATTGATGATGCAACTGGTGCAGAAAAGGTCTGTGGTAACTGAAACATTTTAATCTGCTTTAAACCTTTGCCATATGTTATAAATATCTCTTATGGGTTTCACACTAACATTTTGATGTTGTATCAAAATCTTTGAAGAATAGTATTACGGCATCTCATCTACTTCCATTACATTATTATCTGCACTTCAATTTATAGCTTTGAATAATTATAAATTTTTTATTGCGTAGTTAGGTATCTAACTAATGCTAATAAGTTCCCTGATTTATCATCGTGTAGATGAACTATGAAGACTTTTGCCACATTGCCTCTGTATGTACGGAGCAGATAGGGCCTAAATGTCGTCGCTTTTTCAGCCCTTCAAATTTCATGAAATTTGAGAAAGATGAACAAGGAAGAATTGCCATTCTGCCCTTTTACCTTTATGTGATGAGAACGGTGGGTATAATTGATAATTAATTCCACCAGGCTTTTTCTTGCATCCTTTTGAAGAATTGAAATTATGCATTATATGACTACTGAATTGCAAAAGTCTGGAATGCTACTTACGAATTGTTGCCTCCAGGTTTCACTTACTCAAGCTAGAATTGACATGAGCGAACTTGACGAGGATTCTGATGGTTTTCTTCAGCCTCATGTATGAACTTGTTGCAAATTTTCAGCATCTAAGTGTTATATAACTTATATTTGAATTTTGAGACGTGTACTTTAGCTACCTCATTTTTCTGTATGATATTTGATAAATCAATGATGCATTATCTTTTGCCATCTTTTCTTATAATTGTAATGATTTTGTTCTTTCTTCAGGAAATGGAGGCCTATATACGAGGCCTTATACCTAATCTAGCGCAATTACGGGACATGCCTTCAGGCTTTGTTAATATGTATTGCCGCATAGCTGCACAGAAGTTCTTCTTCTTTTGTGACCCTCATAGACGAGGTATGCCAAAGTTGCAAAATATAAAATGCAAGCCTCTCCACTCATTGCCAATTGGTTTTGGGTTGGATGCTTTAACTTTAGAAAAAACCAGATTTAAATTCTTTATTTAATTGTTGAAAAAAATTAAATTAAATTTGTTCACACAGGAAAAGCCTGCATAAAGAAGGTGTTATTGAGTAATTGTCTCCAGGAACTAATGGAACTGCACCAGGTAGGCTGTGAAAGAATTTGTGAAAAACTTGCTATGTTATAAATTGCTCATCTTTATTAGGTGTATATTCTGCAGAGTAATTAATTATGTCAATAAAACATCCAGTAAATTCTGATCTTCTGCTAACTGTATGTCCTGAACTTTATTATTAGGAAACTGAGGAAGAAGTCACTGACAATGAGCAAGCTGAAAACTGGTTCTCCTTGACATCCGCCCAGCGCATATGCGGTGGGTACTTTTCACATCTATACTTTCATTCCATGTCTCCGGGTTCCCTTGTCATTCCTTTTTTGCTATGGGCTGTCTTCTACATGTGGCATGTTTGTGCTGCTGTTAAACTGTATTATGAGTTCAATTGTATTATGAGGCTTCCATTCTAGAGTGAGGTGATTATCTGCAGTCTTGGCTTTGGCTTGATTGCCATTACCTTGTCTTGATTTCGCTTCATATTCTTGAGTCTCGAAGTCAATTAAGTCCTAGGATTAGTATGTAATCTGTACTCTCAATCTCAAGATAAATGCAATTATTATATTTGAAAACTTTAACTCTACTGTAATTCTGTTGGTGATTGCAACCACGTGCTTTCTGTAGACATGTTCATTGCTCTTGATAAAGATTCGAGTGGATCATTGAGCAAGCAGGAACTTCGAGAATATGCAGATGGGACATTGACTGAAATTATCATTGAAAGAGGTATGCCTAGAAAATTTGAATCCATTGTTTGTACTGTGTACATTCATTTACTTAAAAATGCTAAGAAATCAGTATGGAATTCTATTTCTGAGGATGCCCCCATCTGATATGTTATCATACATTTTGTATTTACCTTTTTAGACTCGTTTATTCATGCTTTGCATTTGATATGCCCTCAACAGTGTTTGACGAGCATGTACGGCGTGGAAAAAGTGGCGGAAGTTCTAGGGAAATGGACTTCGATAGTTTTCTGGACTTTGTCCTGGCCTTAGAAAACAAAGACACTCCAGAGGGGTTAACATATTTATTTCGATGTCTTGATCTTCAGGGAAGGGGTTACCTTACAACAGCTGATATACACTCTCTTTTCAGGTAAATATCCTTCTGTTTATGACTTGTTTGTGGGAGACTTATCAGAAACCCAAAAGAAAAGGAAAACTTTATTTGGTGGTAGAACTTACTGTTGTCAAATTTTGTTCTGTTCTTTGCTTGGCTGCTCGTGCAAAACGTGAGTATTGCTTTTTCGCAATGTTCTGTAACACCAAACAGAGCCAAATATGGAAGTAAAGAAGAGGAGCATCCGAAAGCTGGGATGTTACCTGATACAAACTTCCTACAAAAAAACCTCTCTAGTATTTTCCTGCTTGCAGTACTTGAGCAATATATCTGCAAGTCTCAGATTATCAGAGACATGAACATCACTAATGAACTCAACGAACTATAAGATTTCAGTGTCCTTTGCTTCAGCACTGATTCCTTACTATGTTTTGTCAGTCAAAATATCTTATTTTGTGGTTTTATGAAACAGGGATGTACATCAGAAATGGATTGAGGGCGGAAACTATGAACTGTGTATTGAGGATGTAAGGGACGAAATATGGGACATGGTTAAACCAGCCGATCCACTGCGGATTACCTTGGCTGATTTACTAGCTTGCAAACAAGGCGGCACTGTTGCGAGCATGCTCATTGATGTGCGCGGTTTCTGGGCGCATGACAATAGAGAAAATCTGCTCCAAGAAGAAGAGGAACCAGAAGAAGAATCGTAAATACACTCCGCGGACTCAAAAGTTTGCCCCCGGCTTTACTAACAAATTTAGAGGTTTTTTCGTTCTTTTGTTTTTTTTTCTTGTTTTCGAGCTTTGTGTGTAACGAAATGAATTGCTTTGAATTGTGTAAGTCAATGTGAGATGTAAAATAACAAGTATAGCAAATTGTTGATTGGAATGCTCAGACTAAATGTGAGATCATAGACGCAAGTTCAATATAAATTTTTCTGACTTTAAAGCCTGAGGGTACATTCGGCGTTTCGTTGCTTGCCATGGTGCAAGTTATAAAAATGTCATGTTGCCTAGTGTCGAGAGATGACCAAATTGCCAAAAATAGAGCGAGATTTTTATGTTCCCTTTTTTTTTTTATTATTGTTTTTCTTTAAAGAGGAGAACAATTGGTAACAAGTCATAGTTATTCGTTATTTTCGAGTCCGGAGAGGTTGTGAGGAATTTCCATATTTTGTTGTTTATCAGAGAGCCGTAGTTTTCACTCTTACCGCTGAGCTATTTGTTGTGGTTCAAGAATTTTAATGTTGGGTTCTCAATCAAGATAATCATTAAATAATCACTAAATAGACGAGAGTAACACTCATGGAACACTCGTTTTGACATGCATGTAACATTTTGGTTTAATAACGCAATATAACATATAAAAACTTACTAAAAACAACATTGTATTATTATTAGATCGAAATGGAACAGTGGGTTCCATCGAGCAAGTCGTTCTCACAATTTGGCACGGTGCTTGTTGAGAGCGGGTTTAGCTTCCGTTCAGAGACACTGACGCCTATTGGTCCATAAATCAGCATCGGAAGCAAAATCTTTCAAATTTCACCCACTTTCGCTCCCAGAAATGGAGGTCCCCAAGGATCAAATCGCCACTCTCATGGAGCACGGCCTCTACAACTCAGCTCAGATGCTCGTAATCTCTCTCCTCCCTCCTCCACCTCCTCCTACAATTTCAAATTTTGTCTGCAGTTTCTTAACTTTCCGCCGACTGAAATGTTGTTTATGTGTGGGATTAGGGTTGTTTTCTTGTTTCCTCACCGGCCGCCAGTGCCGAAATCAATCCGCACCTTAAAGCTGAAAGCTTGGTCAGAATCTTCAACTCCATGAGTTCACTTACTCTCTCTCTCTCTCTCTCTCTTTTAATTTCTTGTTAATTAAATTGTTAATTTTTGCTTGCAGGTGCTTCTTGGCGATTCGTTGTATCGCGAAAGAGAGTTTCGCAGAGCAATTGTAAGAAAAATCACACATTTTCCAGTAATTTCGTATTGTAATGTACAAAGTAGTGATCTTGCACAAATGTAGTGGACTTAACACTCTTAGTGATTGCAACAAAATTGGAAGGAATGTGTAATTTTTTACTGAGTGAGCTTAACCTTAGGTGAAAATGCCCATTCGATACTTTCTTGTGTTAAAAATCGTATCTACCTACTTCGGATTTCTTTACTGTATGATTATTATGCTGTCATGTTATTGATTTTCGCATGCTTCTTTATATTTGTTTTCTTTTTCGTTGACAGCATACGTACAAGCAAGCATTGCAGCTTTGCAAGATGATTTCCAAGACAAATGCACCAGCTACTAGAAGCTCGTTGTCATCAACTAGGTCGTCTTCTCCAAATTTGTTTAACATTTCAGGAATTAATGAGAATGAGGTAGGCCGCTTACATTTTTCAAATACTTATTTCTGTTTCAGCTTATACCAAAGCATAATAGTGGTTCTTTTTTGTTTGGTGCTATTCTACACGACAGGTGAAGTTCAAAATCGCATCCAGTTACTTTGCGCTCGGTGAGAATGGAACAGCCCTTTCTGAGGTACAGACATCCATGCCCTAATGTTTATGGGCTGGGAAAAATTTCATATTATCTGCGTTAATATTAGGGTAATGCTAGGGAGACCAAAATTTTAAACCAAATTTGCAAACCAAATGATGTGTCACCAATTACAAATAAGCACGTTAATCAACGCTTAAGTAATAGTCCAATCATTAACAACCACATCATTTGGTTTAAAAAATTTGGTCTCCCTAGCATTATTCTTAATATTAAGGTCTGAGTATAAAGATCCTGATAAGTCTGTGTTAATTTTGTTGGTTTTACTTGCTTCCTTATCTTTCTTTTTATCTTTTTTTCTATCTATTTCACCTGTAGCCCTATATATATTGTTAAGTTGTGAGCATAGTTTCACTACAGCTGGGTACGTTGGGACTAATTACTATATAAGCACAGGGCACCCTTTCTTTGCAAGCTGGTTTTGCAAGAAGAAAATCTACCCATGGGTTTCTCATCAATATCAATATGCACTTATATTTCTTATGTCACTTTTGGAATATTCTTACTGGGGTCTAATGCACCTTTAAACTTTACAGATGGACAACATTCCAAGCAAATCCAGAAACTTGCCAATGAATCTGTTGATGGGAAAGCTTTATCGGTTTTCTAAACAGAATCGTTCTGCCGTTTCTTGTTTCAAAGAATGTCTAAGGTTTGTCAATCAAATTGTGATTCTCATGTTTCAGTTTGTAATTTTATGTATGCAGATATTTTGAGTCTTATACTTCTTTGGTTAATAAAATTTTGTGATCATTATGCTGCACTAATATTCTGAATCTCAAGAATTAGGAGTTCTTTGTTTCTCTGGAGTCAGCAATATCATGTTCCGGTGGACATTCATTTTTAAGACTTGGATACTGTAGTTGAAGTAATTAAAGGGTGGGAAGGTTGGGGTCAAAGGTCAAAGGCTGTGATCAATTGCAAGATTATAGGTGTTTTGTTTTGCAGACCCTTTAGATCCCTTGTTCTATGCTTTCCTTTCCTGGTAGCTCCTGTATTATTAAAGAAGGTTGCACCATAAATTACTTTAGAAAAAAGTCGATGACCAAGACATTCATATGGATATAAAAGTCTTTGGATTTCCTTCTTCTGCTCCCCTTAAGTTTAATTGGGCCATATTGCATCCATCTCCACTTGTCTTTATTCTCATGGAGATTATTCTCTATGAATTCCTTTCCTGTTGCAGTGTGTTCAAACTTCAAATGTGTTAATGCTTTCTGGACTGCTAGCAATCTTTACTTCGTCTAGTTATATTCATGCTGCTTCATTTTTGGCGCTTTTGACAGGCATTGCCCTTATGTCATGGAGGCTATTGTTGCTTTAGCAGAATTAGGAGTCGCTGCCAAAGACATTATTTCCTTGATTCCTCAGGTTTTTCCTGTACAGTTTTTTCATAGTGAAGCTGTCTTTGTCTTATGCTGTTTGTAGAAAAACAAAGTTAGAGTGGCCATATGAGACATGGCTCATGTGGCTATTGTTATCTGGTTACCTATGGAGTGAAGCTTTATAATTAGATGTCCATCCCAATGTTTCTTCAATTTAGTTTCTTGACTCTCAATTTCAGACTCCAAACAGAAGCGGGAGGGCTCCATTTGATCATTTTGACTCAAGTCGTTGGCTGCATGTAAGTAACAATGGGGAAAGCAGAGGTCGTTTATCATTAGCTATCATTTGATCTATATTTATTTATTTATACTATATGTGTATATGGCTTCATATCCACATTCAACCGTGACACTCATCGTGACAAATATTGTAAGGTTGTTTGGACAGACTTATATGTCAAGAAGAGAGTAGTTACTATAGCACCTAGTGATGAAGATTTTTGTTAGTCAGCCTATGTAGTTGGTTTGTTATGCAATAGAAAGAATACACGTGCATTTTGCAATTTAGCTTGCACAATTTTGTTCTTTCACAACTGAGCAGTTCTAGGGATAGGATCTACATAATGGAAAGAGGATTGAAAGGAGGTAAGCCCAATTATTCCAACAAAGTTGTTACATTTGTTTTTCTCTGTGCAGCGCTACGTTGAGGCTCAGTGTTGCGTTGCTTTAAATGATTACAGAGGTAATGGGAATATTTTCTTCGGTACTCTTTGGCCTCATTTGATAGAGAGGATTGGCTTGGATAGGACTATTCACTATATTAAAGGGATTTTATGAGAAGAAATGAATGACAAATTCCTTATTTTGTCCAAGTTGAAGGTTACTCATGAAGAATAGTTGTTCCTTTGAATCCTACCATTTTTGTGGGGATTAGTAGGAATATTTTTTCTTCATGAGTAGCCTTCAACTTGGACAAAATAAGGAATTTGTCATCCATTTCTTCCTTTAAAATGTCTTCAATATAGTGAATAGTCCTACCCAATCCAATCCTCTCTATCAACGAGGCCTTTGGGTTTTTATCTTTATGTGTGTTCGTGGAAACTTAAAAAGTATTCTGTCATGATAAGGCTTGCTTCATCGTCGACACTGCATGCATTAGAGGTCTTTTCTATATATTGATTTAGTACGTGGCCTATATGCAGTCACACTTTGTTTTGTAAAATTTGTACAACTAATAGATGGTCATCATATTGTTCTGTCAACAACTCAGTGATTGTATAAAATTTCTGTGCAAAAGCCCAGTTTCTTTCAGGCAAAGAAGTAAAGAGGAACTTTGCATAGATAAAGATGGGGATTATTATGGTTAAAGTCTTGGTGGTATATAGATTAGCTGTATTACTTCTAGAATCTATTGGATGATGCCCTATAAGGAAGTAGAAGGTTGTTAGAAATAGATATTTGTGGCAGTTCTCATTGATT